GTTTCTGTTTTCTTTTCTCTATTCCTGCTTCTGCTGCTCTGGATTCTGACGGATTTTGCGTCCAAATTTTATTTTTAAGAAACTAAAAAAATAATTAACCCCCAATTTGTATTATTTCTCATTTTAACTGTTTTGCTTTTATATTTTATCCTTTTTTTTAAGATTTACTTTTTATTTTTTTTACTTTCGCTTTTCGTTCTTACTGTGTGAGTGGCGGCTTGGCTTTTCTTTTCTTTTTTTTCTCATTTTTTGGGCTATTTGATGCTTTGCTCTGCTTCTTCTTCAGCGTTGCTAACGGTTCTTCAGTTGTTCTTCCTTTTTTTCTGCTCTGCTTTTGTTACGCTTTTTCTGTTACGGTTTTCTGCTTTCTTCTGCTTTCTCTGGCTGGTTGTCAAGCTAACGGTTAAACTCGCTTTATATATCGTTATTATTATCCCTAGAAAAGAATGTCTCTCTTTCTCTTGCTTTCTTCGCTCTTCTGACTCTCATGCGCCTAACAATTGAAAAATTAACCTTTATCTTTTTTTTCTTTTTAGTTTTTCTTTTCTTTTAAGTATATGCCTTAAGAAAAAACTCTTCAATAGGTAAAAATTCATTTTCTTTTTCATAATAGACACGAAAAAAAAAAATACATATATGTTTTTAAAAATTATAATAATAAACTCTTGATTTGTACTCATGTTTGTACCGCTAAAAAACGTTATCCCTTTCCATTCGCGTAGTTTTTTTCATTTGTAAATATTTTATATATATTTATATATATAGGTTTAATATATATATATATGTACATATATAAAAAAATATGCCTTTTTTTCAAAAAAGTATTCTTTCTTTAGTTTTTGTTTTTTTTTTTCTTCGGTTTGCATTGTAAAGAATCTTTCTATCTTCCTATCTCTTTCTTTCTTTTCGTTTCTTCTCATTTTTCAAACGTGTACAAACTTGTTTTTTTTTTCTTTCAAAATTATACAAATCTATATATTCATAAATCAATGTTAAATTATATTTTATTTTCTGAGTTGAATTCTGATAGCAAAGCAAGTCCTGATAGTGAATCCTGATTCCTGATGATAGTTGTTGTTGTTGTTGTTCATGTCCTTCAAAGTACTTTAGTGGGCTGGTGTTTGGATGTTTTTTTTATGTTTTTTTTTTGTGTTTTTTGTGCGTTTGTGTATTTAAAATGTACATCAAAAGCATTTTTCTCATCTCAACGTTAAATAATATGTGTTGTTTTTTTTTATAAATTTTTAATTTTTTTTTTTCGTTTTCTTTTAGTAAGTAGTTTTTAAAGTTTAAATAGTTGTTAAATTTAAAAACGAGTTTATCACACCTTAAACGTTATCAGTACTTGGCACAACTTACAACACAAAAAAAGTACTTTTCATTTCTTTTTCTCTTTTCCCATTTTCTTTTTTTTTTTTTAGTCTGCCTAGAGGTGTTCTTGGACCTAAGATCTATTTTTGTAATTCTTTCGGGAAGAAAAGCTTTAAAAAGTTGAAGAATTTGTTGGAAAATTGATGTTTTTTAAAAGATTCTATTGAATTAATTGGAAAGCTTTTCTTTTCTTTTCTTTTCTTTCGTATCCCCATAGCCTTAAAGTCCAAGTCATCCTCGCAAAACACTACTCCTTTTCGTCCTTTCTTCCTAACCGTTGCCTCACTTTCCTACCTGCTTTAATAACGATATAAAATAGCCTCTAAATACTAAAAAATAATTTCGTTTCTGCTTCCACTTTGCTTTGCCTTCTTCTTCGTTCTTCCGTCTTCCGTCTTCTGACTTCTTCGTTCTTCAACTGAGTTTCCATTCTACATCATTATCATTATGATTTTTATCCTTATCTTTGTCTTCGTTTTCAACGCGCACGCTAACTCACAAGTTTTACGTTTTTTTCATTTTTTTGTTTTTAGTTATTTAAAATTTAAATTATTATTCTTAATAGTTTTAATAATCCCCCCATCGAAATAAACCAGAGCTATAGCTAAATTATCCTTCTCGATCTCCTCTCTAACCATTTTTCTTTGATTCAGCATTTGGAATAATAATTTTCAATTCTTTGTTCTTTCTTCTCTTATTCTCATTCTCCTTCTTTTTTTTTTGCGAATCTTTTATAAAAATTCCGTTCGTTTTTTCTTTTATAAATATCGTTTTTTTTTTAGTTTTTTAAGCATACATTTATATATATCTATATATATATGTATATGCTTAGGACTTTGTATTGACAACTTTGGACATTTTCATTTTGTGGAGAAAAAAAAAAAGATAATTAGTTATATTAATTAATTCGAATTATTCGTTTTAACGACGAGACAAAAACTTATCCAAGACTTGTATACATATGTATATATATAGAAAGAGGATATATACATACAAATATATATATATATATATATATATATATCTCAAATATAACAAAAAAAAAACAAAATGTTCTTTTTTTTTCAGCATATACATATGTATATCCCATATATATACATATATAGCGGGGGTAGGGGGAGGGGTCTCGATTCTCGTATATACCATATACAATATATAGAGTTCAATATTTTTAATGTCTAGCAACATGTCTTATATACACTTCCCATTATTCCCTGACTTCTGCTACTCCTGCTGCTGCTCTAGCTCCTACACTTTGTTGTCCTTGCTATGTCCTTTTTTTGAATCTGCTGGGTGTACATATATATATATGGTAGTAATCCTGGGTGGGGTGAGTGAGTGAGATTGGTTGCTTTCTTTTTCCTCTCTAGTTTGGTTATCGGTTATCGATTATCGAATGGTTTAAGGACATTCCATGACTTTCAGGATATGCCTTTTTCCAATGCAGATTTTTTAGTTATTCTTCCGGTTCTAATTGGTTTTTGTATTATCTTCATAATTGTTGTATGTTTTTTTGGGCTTATATACTAATTTTACATTTTTAAGGTTTGTGTTTCTTAAATCTTGTAGGGTTTTTATTCATTTTCATTTTTGTGTTATATGCGTGTTTAAGTTTAAGTTTTTATTATTTGTTTTTTTTTTGTAGAAGATAATGCACTTACATTGAGGTATTTTAATTACTTTTTCAATCTTCTTCAAAGTTTTTCTTTTTCTTCTTTAAATCTTTTTTGCTTCTGGTTTTGTTTCAGTTTTATGTTTAAAAATTAAAATGTAAAAAATTTAAAAAATTAAAAAAGCAAGTATGGTTAGGTGGCCCTAAAGCTTGTACAGTTGCTTGCTGGCTTTCTTTTCTTCTCTTCTCGATCTTTCTTTTTTTCTTTCAAATGTTTTTCCGTTTTCTTGAATTTTGTTCAAAAATTTTGGTAATTTTTCGTTAGTTTTCTTAGTTTTTCATCGAAAAATAATGTGCCGCTCAAAAGTTTGTTGTTGTTGATGTTGTTTTCAATTTTGGTTTGCTTTGTTTTTTTGTTTGCCGAAATGTTGATTTTTCTTCGTTCTTCTCTCTGGTGTTCTTTTCTACTAAAATGCCTGAATATAACAGCTCTCCGATGCAAGTGTTATACAAACAAAAGGGTGTGGTTGTTGGTGAAACTATTTTGTAGTAACATTACTAAACACTATGGAATCAATTAAGTTAAAGTTTAAAAAAAACAAAAAATTAATAAGATATATAGATCAGATCGGGCTATTGCGATTGTTGCATATTTTGGCTCGTATATAGTATTCTATATATAGGTTGTATATAGCTGTAGTTTGATTGTTTGTTGCTCCGTTATCAGTTACTTGGGTTGCGATCATCAAGCTATTGGTCATTCAAATTGTTATACTGTTATATATACTGTTCTAGGCTACCGTTCTCTCTAAATGCATCCTGGGGGGGTTTCTTTGATTGATTTTTGTTTTGTTTTGTGGTCTTGAAATGCAAAATGATTCTAGATTTAAAATTGGCTGGCTTGGTATTAGTATTAGTAGTAAGTAAGTAGTAGTAGTGTAGTTGCCCCATCCATGTATAACAGCTTGTCTCTCATACACGCTCAAAACGTTATAACGTAACACTTAACGTAACGTAACGTAACGATCAACTCTCCTTGCTCCTTACTCCTTGCCGTTCCTTACTCTTTCTCGTTTACGTTCTCGATTAAAAAAAATTAACATTTCAGCACCGTTATTTCATTTCATTTTTTTTTTTAGTTTAGTTTCATTTCAAGGCAAACACATTACAATAGTTTCTCTTTAACACTATCTCTCTCGTTACTCTTTCTCTTTCTCTTTCTAGTTCTGGCTCTTTCGTTTCTCCATTATAATGTCTCTCTCCTGCTGGCACTAAGTATAATCAACAATTCTTGTATGTAATTCTCTAGCCATCGACGACAAAAAAAAAAATTACAAACAACTTTTCAGGCATCTTTTTTCTTTCTTCTAAGATGGTTCTTCTTCGGAGAGATATACTGGATCCATATCTGGCACAATTATAATATATATAATAGAGCTCAAATCTCAGCTCATAACTATATTTTTGTATATATATATGCATGTGTTTAAAGATATAGTATTAGTTGCTTTCTTTTTTTGGTGGTTCGGGTTGAGGTCTGTTATACTATGTATAACACTTTCGGCCAACAGTTGCATCAACTGTTGCGCACATTGTGCACATTATAACGGTCATACATCGGCCCTAACCTAACATTCGTGTTCGGTCCTGTTTCTGGTTGTGTCTTGTGGGTAGGTATGTATGTAGGTATCCTTGCTGGGATGGTTTACAATTTTTGTAGTCCTTCGTCCTTTTACTTTCATCTTACTTAAAGATAAGCTTACTAAAACCTTGGTTTAAAAAAAAAAAAAATAATTAAAAATTAACTTTAAACTCTTTATAGTTAAGTATATTTAAAAAAAATATAACGCATACTCTACTAAACTTTTTTCCTTTCATAATCATGTTTTTGTTTTCCACTTTTTCGTTCTCTTTTGGGGGTTTTCTTTGTGCTGTTCTGTTTTGTAACAACAACAACAAAGTGGATGTGGGTTAGGGTGTGTTATTATGAGTGTTATTTTTAGTTTTCTTTTTTTTCTGTTAATATTATTATTTTTTTAAGACGATTCTGCAATCTATTTAACGATTTTCGCTTTATTTCTTAGCTGGCAAATGAAGAATGTTTCTTTTCTTAATGTTTCTTTTTTTTTTAGGGGGGGCTGCTGTTTTTAACTGTTTTCTTTACACTGATACTGTTATATAACCTAAAATATAGAGCTTCTTGGTAATGGGGCCCAAACTGTTGAGATGACATTGGAGAGAGAGAGACAGTTGCCTCTGTATAACTCGTTCATGTCTGTTCGTGTCGTTGTTTTGATTCTAGTTCCATCTCTATTGCATGTCGTTTACAATCTTGTTTGCTTACGTTTTGTCGCCTGTGCCAGCACAAGAGGTGGGCGCGCCTATGGTCTCTCTTTTTTTTCTTTTCTACACGATTGTAAACGATGATTTGGAAGGGGGGGGTAGTGGTGGTGGTTAGGGCCTGGTCTATAACCCTGCCTTGGCTATTATGGCGACTGCTCTCCATCAACATGATCATCTAACGGTGGTTGCTGATTGGGTGGTGGTAGGGTGGAGGTGGATGAGGTGGTAGATGTCTCTTCTTCTTCTTGGGATTACTGCTGTGAGCTCGCCAGCTGCTGCTGCTGCTGTTGGGCTGCTGCTGCAGTTGCATTGCCAGAAGGTGGCGGCGACGGTTGCTGTTGTTGTTGTTGTTGTTGCTGCTGCTGCGGCTGCTGCTGCGTCGATGCCTGCTGCTGGTGATGTGCTGGGGGCGTCGATGATGACGACGCCGACGACACAGGCTGATGATGCAATTGCGGCAACGCCTGCTGCTGCTGCGATGGTGACTGTTGTTGTTGCGGCTGCTGTTGGGACCCACTTGTTGCGGCACCTGCTAGGCTCTGTTGTTGTTGTTGTTGTTGTTGCAATTGTTCTTTGGCAGCTTTCTGTTTTTTGGTAACTGGCGGCGGATTTGTTGACAACATCATGGCCCGAATGCGTCTCTGTGCAGACTATCGAAGACATATAAAATATTTAAAAGATTAGAAGATTAAAAGAATTCCACTAAGCTTACCTGTACACTGTAGAAGGGACCAATAATGTGTACGGGCGTCTCCTCATCACCGCCAGAGGGCGGTGCCAGAGCATGCTCCGGCAGCTTAATGACACTGCCCGTCACACGCTGCAATTCACGAACATTCTGACCACCCTTGCCGATGATGCGACCCACCTGGAGGATTAGAAGATTATAATCTGATCATCATGCTAGGGGATTAGTTAGAGAGAATTTCAAACCTGAGAGCTGGCCACCAGCAATTCAACTGTTAGACGAACATCATCAGTGCCGCACATGAAACCCTCTTCGCGCATCTTCTCAAAGATCATATACTGCGCCTTCCACTGACCCTCCGGTGTACCAACAATCGTCACCTTGCGCTCCGTTTGTTGGTCCAGCGGCTTGTCGGCATCGAGGGGTGCTATCTTTAATGATGCATTCGAGAATCGCATTATGCTCCGTATATGTGAGCCCTTTGTACCGATAATGGCGCCGACAGCATTATTCGGTATATAAAGGAACGTGGTCTCCTGAAGGTCATTGGGGAATACAGGCGGCACAACACTGGCCGGTGTCTTGGACATGGCAAAACTTTGACACGAGGGGAACGGCATGCTCGTATTAAAGACCATGCCGTTGCCCGGTGTCGACATCATTGCCATTGGATGGAGGCCGGGGAACATTAAACTTTGCGGTGCCATCGCCTGCAGATCATTCTCATAGCTTTGTCGGAGTTTGGTACTAATTTGATTCTCGGCCCGCGACATATTCTCGATCAGACCCTTAACCGTAATGATGCGTTCCAGATTGAAGCTATTGATGTCATTGATCGAGCTGACAGTGATCTTGGTATCGGTATCCTGCATGATTCTTTTAATGGTATTACCCGACTTGCCAATAATCCTTCCAATTAAATTATTATGGGCGAGTATTTTAAGGCAAATTTCACTAAAACGAAAAATATTAAAAATTTAAAATATTAGTTAATATCTTAATAAATTAAACCAGAATACTCACCCCTTATTCGTGGATAGTGCCTCCTGTTGCATCACCTCCAGTATACGCTTGCAGGCATTGGTGCAATTCTCTGGATTACCATAAATCGTAATGGACTTCTCCACCGAACCGACATTCTCCTTGCGATGAACATCAACCCGAGCACGGCTCTGTTGTGTTATTGTCCGGATGGTGCTGCCCTGCCGTCCAATGATGGCGCCCACCATCTCGCTCTGGACGAGAATGCGTAGCGGAAAGTCCGCCTGCCTACCGGGACCTGGCATACCCGGATACGGATTGCGTTGATTGCGCTGGCTCCGCCGCTGGTTCTTGTCCAGCTGCTCGGCATGCAGTTTACTGCCCTCGAACTCGACACCGTTTAGACCACCAGCAGCTCTATATATATATTTTTTTTATTTTTTTTATTTTTAAAATAAAAAAAAGAAACAATATTAGTTGATGGATATATGTGTATAGGGGTATAGTATTTTTTTTTGGGGGTCATGAGAGATGTCAAAAGTATTTAGAAGAATAGTAGCCCTTGCACTTCCCATAGTTGAGATTTTTGAGATGGTGATGGTCAAGGGGGTAGTCGCATAGCAAAAATTTTGTTGGAAAATATAAAACTATTGTGGCTCTGAGTATAGTTTTTGAAAAATATTTGAAAAAAAAAGGGTTAAGGTGGGGGTGGGAGGGTTAATTTAGAAACAAATTTAGGAACAAAACACAAAAAGACACGTAAGAGAGCCATCCATAAAACCCAAAAAGAATTTCCAGATCAAAACCCGCCACTTTTCAAAAAATTTTGATATCTTAAGAGATCTCTCTGCCTTCAAGCTGAACTCTTTTTGGGAGGTTAGGGGGGCCTAACAGCCGATGATCCGAATAACAGAGATGATCTTAACAGAGATTTCAAGAGCAATAGATAGAGAGAGAGAGAGTAAGAGAGAAAGGAGAGTGGTGTGTTTTAGATGAGAGAATAGTTGTTGTTGTTGTTGATTTTTTTGGTTTTTTTTTTTTTTCATTGGTTTTATATACCTTTGCGCCTGCTCAGGATTTTCGAATGTTATATGTACTGTTTGAGTATTTTGATCCTTACTAGAAATAGCCTCACACTGTTTGACGATGCCATAGGGCTTCAGTAGCGGTTCGATGTCTTCGAAACGTGTTTGCATCGGTATGCCGCTTATTAAGATTTTTGATGTCGTAACACTGCGAAGAAAATAGCGTAAAAACACACAAGAACAAGAACAAGAAAAAAAACAGAGACAAAAACACAAACAAACACAAAAAGGAAAAAAACAAAACATAAGAATAGTATAGTAGGTGTATAGAGAAGTTATAGAGGATAATGATATATATAATAGTAATATAATGGATAAAAAAAAAATAAAAATTATAAAAATTAAAATTAAGATGAATATATGAATAAAAAATAATAAACAAATAAAAAAAAATTAAAAAGAAAGTTCTGACAAGGTGCTTGTTGTGGTAGTAGGCGGCAAGAGAGAGCGAGAAAAAGAGGTGTGTTGGAGAAAGCGAAAGAGCAGGAAGAGAAAAGAGATCAAGCAGCGCAACTAACATCTAAAGAGCGAGCGTAACAGAGCGTGATTACGAATGACAGAGAGAGAGCGAGCGAGAGCGAGAGAGAGGCTGTTTGTAAGGTGTATCTTGCGGGATCTTAAGCCTAGAGATGCTTAACATTTTCAATAAAAAAAAAAACAACAAATCATTGAAAGGAGCGAGAGAGAGAGAGTGTTAAGGACCTGCCGAACCACCCACTTTTCTAATTATTATCTAAAATAAGAGAGTTATGAGTCTCATACTTAAGACAATAATTTTTAAAACTAATATATAAGAATAGCTACAATTTCAGAGAAATCTATAAGATAACATCCAAGTTATTCTTGAGGTTTTTTCTTGCCAGTAGCAGAAAAAAAAACCTTCTGAAAAGATCTACAAAGTGGCATCCAAATCCGAAGCTCTGAACTTCAAAGTCAAAGCCAGACGGACGGGAGAATACACGGATATGAGACTAAGAATGAGAATGAAAAAGAGTGAGGCAAAAAAAAAAAAAAATACGACGCCTGGAATGTTGCACATTTAATATCGTGTTTATTTTTCTTGGAAGTAATTTCACTCCAACAGTCTCAGTCGTCGACGTCGCCGTCCAACAACAACAAAAACAACTTAGTAGCAGGAACAACAACAACCACACACTAATGATGACGACGACAACGACGGCGGAGGAGTCCAAAAAAGGAAAATTTTCAAGAAAGACGACTACTCATCTCACATTGTAGACTTTTAATGGGGTTTGGTGGCAACTCTTCATAATAAACAATATCTGGATCGGCAATCATCGAAGAGAAGAACAGTTAAGACAATGTTGTATTTGGGTTGTTGGTTGGAAGACAAAGTCATCGATAAGTTATCGATGTTCAAATGCAAAGAGCGAGCGATACTTGGGTATTTTAAGAGAACCCATTAACCCAGAATTCATTAACCCATGAGAAAAATTAACCCATAAGCTAGAAGGTTAAGAGAAAACGAAGAAAAATAGCGATATTGGCAAACCAAAAACATATTTATCGATAAGTTATCGTTGTTAAAACGGTTAGAGAGGATGGCAGGAATACCAATACAATGTTGTGTCTGTGTTTTAATAAAAACAAAGTTATCGATAAGTTATAGATTTTAGAATATGAAGAGCTAACGATAAAAATATTCATTTTTGAAATAAATGTCGATACGTGTTAAGCTTCCGATGTTGAAAGAGCAACATATCGATAAGTTATCGATGTTAGAACTGTTAATAGAATTTCTTCGATAGTTGAGTTGTTGAAATCACACTAATCGATAAGTTATCGAAACCCCAATGCTTTGTTTATTATTGAGAACTTTTCGATAGGTTATCGATATTAGAATCTTTGAATTCTGTTAAGATTCTGTTAAAAATACAGTAATGACTAAATTTTTTTCAAAACAGTTACTTTTTTCCTCTTGTTTTTCAAAGAAAGAGAAAGAAATTCAAAGAAAGAGATCCAAAGGCACATTCCTGCACTCCTTCACTCCATTCGCCATTTGCCACTCGCCCCCCCAAAGTCCCCCTCCTCGACCATTCTACACCCAGTTTCTCGCCGCGGTGTGTTTATGGCTCTTCTTCGCTTCATTTCTCAGGCGTCTCCGGGCGGCTTTCCAGGAATTGTAGAACAAATTTTGCTACCGTTGCTATTTTTTTGTATTTCGTTTCCAGTTGCTAAAGTCGGGAACTCCAGGGACTGAGAATTACTGGAATCGAATGCTCCCCAGAACTCTCCAGCCGAAACCCAGAGAGATCATATTATTGTTTGGAATTTTTTCAATAAATAAACAGAACGATGGTACCCCCTTTTAATTGTATAATTGAAGACGAAACCCATAAGGGTTAAGGATTTTTCCTCTATGCTTTTTTCCATTGGAAAGTAACCGTTAGTCTGGAAAAATCCCCCCAAAGTAGGCAATAAAGTTTAACGACAATTCTTGATTTTTTAAGAATTAATTCTTAAAATTTTAATGAATGAATGAGCTTTTTTTTTTTTGTTGCATACGAGAGGCGGTTAACGGTAATTTGCTGAGCATGCGTCACATCTGTTGCTGCTGTATTTTCTTCATTGATGTACATATACATACAAACATACAGTAATACATGTGTAAGTATGTATATATGTATGTATGTTGGTATGTATTTGTATGCAAATGTCAAGTTGCAGTTCGTTGACGTTTCGTTTTCGCTGCTGCTGCTGCTGCTGCGTCTAGCCGACTGCATCCAATGAGAAGAGAGCACCCCATCACCCCCTTTTTTGGTTCTCTATCACTCTCTCACTAGCCCTCTCTTAGTCTCTGTCTACTAAAGTCATTAACCAGTCTGTGCAACAATTTCACCTTTCTTGTGCTTCTTCTTCTTGTTGTGCTTTTTCTACTGAATGTGATTTTGTTTTTTTTTTTTTTGTTTCTTTTCGTGTTTGTTTCTGACATGTGACCGATTCTAAGCAAATGACCTCGCGGCCTGCCGCAACACACACACATACACATAAGTACTTTTTGTATGTATATGTATTGGCGTACGCACCTGAAAAAAGCTTCTTTTGTGCTGTTATTTGTTATCAATGCGACCTTTACATGCCGGGGAATAATAGAGGGCAAAAGAATATGTACAAAAAATTTTAATACAAAGAGATTTTTAATACATTTTGTTTTGGTTTTTTATTTTTAGTTTAGATTTAAAAAAAAGGACTTTACATGAAAATAAAGGAATAAATAATAATATTCCTTTATTCCATAAATTTAAAGGAAAAAAAAAACCATTTACATAAAAATGAATATATATTTAATATCAATTAAACACAAAATTAAAGTCAAATATATTTTTTTGATGTTTTTATTTTAAAAACTCCTAAAATTTTTCCCACTGCTGTTTAAGATACGCACTTATGTACATATTTATGAATGTAAATATGAAGACGTACCGATATGTATGTAATAACGTTATGTAGAGAGTTATGTAGAGAAACTCTCCAATCAATACAACATGCACCGCCACCGACACCGGCAGTGGATGTGGCAGTGGCAGCCCCCCAGCGACAGCGCTGTCTGCATCAGCGTCGGCGCCGTCGTTTATTTGTTTTGGAATCTTTATTTTTTTTTTTCTTTTTTTTCTTTTAATTTGTATCCCTCTTATAAAAAGGCGGCGCTGACTGCATTCGCCAACACACTCACACACACACACACACTCTGCGTTGGGGCTTTATCAGGAATGAATAAAAAAACAACAACAACAACAGAGAGAGATGTATTTCTGAGTTTGCTTTCTTCCTTCCTCTTTTTCGTTGTTCTTCTTATTTTATTTTTTGTTTTTTTTTTCGTATAATTTTTATGAATGAAAAAGTCGGAAATCTGTTGCAATGTGCTTTATATTTATAATTTTTTGTATTTTTTTCTTGAAAAACGAACATGTGGGGGCCTAAATATACATGTATGTATGTAATATGTAGATATATATTTACATAAATGCAATATTATTGGCAAATTACGCATTTTTCTGATATTCTTATTCAGGAATGGCTTGTTTCTTTTTTCTGGTTTCTTAGTCTTTTTTTTCTTGTTCTTGTTCTATTTTCATGGCATTCCACAAGTTGCTCACATACACACATACACATACACTCTTGTACCCCCACACTCTCTCTTAGCTATTCTGTTAGTTGTTGTTGTTGTTGTTATGGCTGTCTTGCTCTCCTTGCATTTTATTAGTCAAGCTTATCTACTCCATCACACACTCCCCTCTACCTACCTCTCTACTATCTCTAACTCTCTTTCTCTCATTAGAAAGCAATGATTGAAAAGAATCTGCCAATTTCTAGGCAGGTTAACCCCACTCCTCCCCCTCCTTCCACCCATCAGCACAAGAATTTATTTTGTCAACACGGCCAGAGAGAGAGCGAGAATAAACTTGTTTTTCTGCTTGCAACTCTTGCAGTTGCCAGCGGGCGGAGGAGAGGCAGCAAAAAAAAAAAACAACGGTTTGACCTAAATAGGTGGTGTGGTGGCGCCCCTCACACTTGTTGGACTTGTATGTAGAGGGCGTTGGGTGGGTGGTAGGTATGGCAGTATGACATCTCCCGTCAAAATATTTACACTCTTCTAACGGACAATCATAACAATTGCAAGCTATGACACATTTCTCTTTCTACCACCCACTATATCCAGTTAATGGGTCTCGTGGGTGTAAAAAGAGGGGGTCTATAGTTCTAAAACTGCTCCCATAGATGTATTTGGAGGTACTCACCACCAAACAATAGAAATTATTAATTATTTTTAAGTAACAACAATAATATTATCAAAAAATAACATCATATTATACCTCTCTAATGACTATAGGTATTATTATAATCATTTTCGGATTAGTGTTGATTTTCGATTAGGCGGTTCGTCAGATAACTAATGGGTTCAAGTGCATTATGTGGGAAAGGGACAGTGCATATAGGAATTAATCCCCAAAATGTAAGAAAAGAAAGAGGGGTCTATAGGTCTCTCTAGCTTCTAGTCTGGGCCCCAATCTTATGACTTTGATGGATTCTCGCACCTCTTGACGTTTCAAATGGACATAAATTAGTGATATTCTAACCCAAAAATATATTTCCAAACACTGGACAACATACCGATCCATATAGCGA